CCCAGGGGTAAGTTGGGACATCACCATGATTGGGAGGTCCATTGTTCCACAAGTAGCGGGGAAGGGGCCCGTATGGCTGTTTTTTGTTCCTAGATGTGTTTGCCTCCATTGACGTTTGATAGGCTCTGGTTCGTGGGAGCTAAAAGAGCAAGTTGTAGGCTGGCATGGTCCGGGTTTAGGTCGATGAACGATCGATTTAGTCCGCCAGGACCGGCCCCATCTTGGCGAGGGTGGGGAACTTCAGGGCCTGTTCCGCGGTAACCAGAATATCAAACCACGGTTTTCAAGACCAAGGATTATCGGGAGTCATGCCAAGAGGGAGTGCGGATTGGTCTATAGTTCGGGTAAATCTTGGGGCGTGTTCGGGAGAGAAACCTAGATAAGAGTTTCTCCGAGAGTTAGCGCTGCTGTTTGAGAAAACATTAGGGGTAGGTGTGGTATCGAATAAGTATGATGTGATAAGTTAATCAGCTTAGATTTAATTCGACGGCAGCAAGTCACAGATTAGGGTTCGCGTCTCCCTGAAGAGATGGTGCACCTTACCCTACGCTATCTCTCGTGGGGAATTGGGAGATGCATCCGTTGAGGGATCGGGCACAAAATTTCCCTCTGGGGAAAAACTTTCAAACTTTGGTTTCCATGCCATTTCCGCGATCCTTAAGTTTCTCGACACCGCGGCCACGGTATAACGAATCGCTGAGCACCTGGAATATGACGGGAAGCTTGAGGCGTGTACCTGAGGGCGCATTCTTGTGATCCGCTGATGTGCCAAATAAATAAAGGATTTTCCCCAAGAACAGGCATTCGTTACCAGCCCCGATTTGAGTTTTTTATACGGTCTTCAGATCTAAGGTATGGTATCATAGGCGTCATACAGTTTCTGTAAAAATTAAGCTCAACTGAATCACTTGTATCAAGAATCCTATCACCATATGTTAAAATTCATCGTGGGGAGGCGGCGACTGGATGGTACCGACAAGACATCGCTTCCGGCCACATGATGGTTATATCAAACAAGAAGATCCAAGCATTGGGTAATGAGGAATGGATTGTGGAAGTATATCGAAAAAAATAACGTTCTACTGTCAAACCGATTACGAGAAGCTTGTTAATAGGGCATACAAATCATATGGACGGGTCAGCAATATCTCAAGTACATGATCAAAGCAACTGAATTCTTTTCCATCATCTCACATACTGAGGGGGAAATTAAAAAAAAGCGATATAGGCCAGAAGTGAACTTGGAACAAATGTTTTCGATATTCATAAGCCTTTACCCTTACCAAATCATGATTTGGTAATGGATACTGGAAGTTGTGGAGGCCCTGCTTGTAGTGGCAAGTCGACGGTCAGCCATCGCAGGTCATGCATAATTTCGTCCCCCACCCTGGGGGTTGTTTTGCACTCGAGTCTGATAGTGTACCGTGCAGTGATGTACAAGTACTCGTGCAGTACTGTACGAGGCTGGAGACAGAAATTACAGGCAGTGTAAACTTGCCACACAAAAGGTAGCCGACTTCAAGCGGCTTAATTTTTCCCCTAAGTCAGGTTCTATCCAAAAATGCAGGAGATGCTACTGTAAGCACTTTACAAGCATTAAAACTTAGTCAACTTTTAATGCAGGAGATGCTACTGTAAGCACTTTACAAGCATTAAAACTTAGTCAACTTTTCATGCACAAAAGCTTAGGCTAGTAGGAATAAATTGCTATGATATTTCGGTAACTAGAACCGCCGAATCAGGCTTGAGAAATGGCGGAAAAACCACATTTTCCCACCCAAAAATAATCGCCAAGATCCGATGTCACCTTGACTGTTAGATCAACAGGCGTCTCGAAAGATGAGATATTTATTTGAGACAACCGGATGACAAAGTCCAGGAAATTCTCTTGGATATCCAGCCAAGGTTGGATTCTGTTGATTGAACAGAGGTGGTGTTGTGATGTTGTGAATACGGCTGCTCTGGATGCCACGCGCACTTCTGTCGGTGGTTTTTTCCTAGCTCGTAATGTCCGAGCCTGGCATCAGATGTCAGGAGTAGGTTACTATGATACTTCCCACAAAATTGCATGGCTTTAAGGATTATTAACCCACCCAAAAACAGGATAGAATCTATCAACGTAGAGTCAGTGCCTAACAATTGCTTAGCATATTTCAGTAAAAATTGTGTGAATTCCGTCACCCTTGTGTGAGTGCTGATGGCTAAATATTAGTTCCTGGGGTGTTGCGATCTACCTTCCCCACAGTAGACTGGTATGTTTCATTGTATCTTTTGCCCATCCCCAATGCCCCTAATATTTCTCTCCCAAAGTTTATTGGTAGACCCTAATCTTTGCCTAGAACAAATTCCATACGATTCTAAGAAATTTATCCAATTTTAACTCCTTTTATCAAAGCAACCAAGGTGAGATTTCCCGGTGTAAAGTTGCCCATTTTTGGTGTAAGGTGCCGACCTACTCACAAATTTTAGTGACAGGTTGGTATCCTGGTAGTATAATACTGTACTGTACAGTACTAGTACAGTATTCTAGTGCATGAACCAATAGCCCCGTTGTGCGACGGACAAATTTCCAAGCCAGTGCGCTGTGAATTTATGGTGCTACAGCCTACTGGTGTCTGCATGTGGCGGTTCCGGAGAGCTGGGTCGCCAAGGAATCTGGCCAACGTCTGGCTCCCGTGAACAACAACCCGGCCAGGAACAAATGGTTATGGGGGGATAGAGATATGGGAAGAAACGGCCATAGAGAGGGCTCGCACTCGAGTTGCCGTGCGAGCCCTGCAAATCTGGGAGCACGGGGGAAGGCAGAGATTGGAAGTGAGTGCGGACATCACCGGAGGGCCGCAACCCAGAGTGACCTTAGAGAGCTACTTTGTCAAGTGAAGGGGAGGGGGAAACTGATATTGGAACGGCACTGCAATAAACCAATAACTGAGCCTCAGTCGGTGATTCTAGGTTTCACCGACGTTACACCGAAGGTCGAAGGTTCCCACTTTGCCTCGAGAGAAAGGAGAGAAGGGAAGGACGAGAGTTAGCGGAACATTGCGGATATACACCCCGGGCGCGGAAGACGGACTATTGTGAGTCTTACCTGGTGTGAATTAGGTGTGGTTGGGCTAACACGTGCGGTTGACCGAAAGGCATCGATCGTGGACGGGTTTTTTTTACCCTCTTTCTCTTCGTGGCAGGGACCGGGGGAATAGGAGAGTGTGGATCTTGGGGTAGATGAGGTGGGGGAATGAGAGGAAGATGGGGGATTGAGAGAGGGAGGTAGAGCTACTATCACACTATCATGGAGTATCACTAGGGAGATATCGGGGATAGGGAGCGCGGGGGTGCATCGGCGTACGTGCAAGGTGCTACGTACCCCCCCCCCGCTCCTGTCGTTCAGCCGGCCAGTATCACACCTGTACACTTTTCGACACAGATTTGGCAGGAGGGGTTGTGACTTTGGTGTGTGAAGTGTCAGTAGAAAGAGTGTTTTCTCACGACAAGTGTGGCCTATACTCGAGTATACAAATCGATTCTCGGCCCGCTCTACATTCCATTTCCCTTATTTAAACTTGACCATCTTCACCATTCTTTCCCCTATTTTCCTTTCCCCACTCCTATCTCCTTCCTACTATATTGTGCGTTTTTCCACAGTCTGCGGTAGTTTGAGGCTCTAGGAGCATGACCACAGATGGTGTGCGCCTAGAAAGTCCTACAAACCTTCTCTACCCCTTCATGCCCTCCGTATCTTCAACCCCCACCGAGGTGCCTTTTCACCCATTTTGCTTCTGAGCTCTTGCTAACCCCCAAGTATAGTAAAAAAATTTACTCCGTTTGCAATATTCATCATTTCCATTCAGATATCATTCAGCTGGTGATCTAGAAAACAATCGTCTCTTCAACCAATTCCTCCGGTAACGGAGGTTTTGGACTAAAAGAAAAGAAAAGGAAAAGCCGAAACGGATCCCAAGAGTGGATGTAATTGGCAAGCACCCTTTTCTTATCCAACTATTGAATGGGGCCGTTGCCATGTGTGATTTCCACTGCACCATGATGTCTTTAAGAGTGGCGTTGCTAGCGATGAATATGTCTACGAAAACAGCATTCCATACTTGCGTTTTTAATATTCCAGCTAATTCTCGCTAGACTTTGTCTTTCCCCTTGTCCCCGCGAGTCTTTTGCGGCAAAGAATCTCGGTCGATTGACACAATACCACCTCTCGAGCCATGGGGATCCGAAAGTATCCCCAACCTCTCCCTTCCCTCATCCCATTATTGTGCAATACGCTAGTATATGCTGCCCCAACGGGAGGCTTTCCTTCAGTTACCGTACCGGCTTTGCCAGCACGCGACGGAGAGTCCTTATTCAAGGGTGATCCTATACCAACTATTGACTGGATGAGCCCGGATACCATTAATTTCACCTGGGGACTGACGGGTGTGGATAATTTTGAGAATCTCATGTTCTCGTAAGTCGCGAAAAGTGGATTTCTTTGGGAAAACCAGAATAAAAAGAGTCCACAATATCCTATTCCTTGGATATATAAGGAATTTTGCCTCTAACGAGAATTGGCTCACAGGACCTATCTGTTCGCGACTTTGGGATCAGTGGTTACGTTATTATTCGTCTTCAGAACCTTTATCTATCACATTAATAGCCAGCGCTTGACGATAACGGTTGCATCTTCATATACGACCACGGCATCACATTTTTATTCCCTTCCACCAGCGAGATGGTTCTCGCTGCTTAGGCGCCACCTAATCCTAGCACCTCTGTACAAGTTCCGTCATAATAACCCATTCATTCTGACCACTCCCACACCATCCATCAAGATTCACCTTGGGGCCCTGCCCTCCCGTCTGAATTCTATTATAATATTTCTATATCTTCTGTCAAACGTTCTGTACTGCACTCTTTATCTTCCTTGGAACGGCTCGATAGGCCCGGATGGAAAATTTAGAGAACCGACAAAGGCAGCACTTGTGGCAGAGTTTAGAGGAAGGACGGGCGTAATGGCTGTTGTCAATATGGTTCCATTGTTTATTTGCATGGCGAGAAACAATTTCGTTGGGAACGCCGTTGAGGTGGGATTTGATACTTGGAACTTGTTTCACCGCTGGATTGGCAGGGTTGTGGTGTTGGAGTCGGTAGGACACATGCTTGCGTGGACAGTCAACAAGATTGACCAGGCAGGATGGAAAGGCCTGGATGAAGCTATAAGGACTAGTCATTTCTATCAGGTTGGTCTGATGGTATGTTTTTTGACACATTTTGGCACCTATCCTTCACCGGGACCGAGGTCTAATCATATGCAGGCCGAGATCGCTCTCATCTTAATAGCCATTTTGTCTGCTTCGCCGCTACGACATGCAAACTACGAATTCTTCTTGTCGATGCACCAGTTGCTTGTCGTATTTTTCGTAGCCGGTGTTTGGTGGCATCTTTATATCGACATTTTGCCTCAGATGGTTTACTGCGACATCGCTATTGCGATATGGGTTGCTGATCGTGTTTTCAGGATCTTGCGCATCGTGAAGAACAATATGAGGTGGAGAAAGGGGGGGCTATCTTGCAGCGTAGCTGAAGCTTCCCCGCTGGAGGGTGGGGATGCTGTTAGGTTTAGCGTTGCACTTTCTACCCCATTCAAATACAGGCCCGGAACTCACGTAGGTTTCCTCTTATGAACGTTCTTCCCCGCGATTGGGGATAAAATTGACAGTTCCTTCTGCAGGCATATCTCTATGTGCCACGAATCGGCTGGTGGCAATCTCACCCGTTCTCAATCGCTTGGTCATCCGCAGAGGAATCCACGCAGATAATTGGAATGACACAGAGGCCCGATGGGTGGGAGACTCGAAACTCAACACCCGCTACGGCTGCCCTCCGACCCGTCTCCAGCTCGCAGAGCCAAGCAACTGTCAAGGAAGGCCATACTGCCCCAAAGGATCCGTATCCGGTGAAGCATCGTGAGCCCGGGGTAGCTACCACCTCGAAAAAGACTACGGTACACTTCATCATATCGAAACACAATGGTTTCACAAAGGCACTATATGATGCTGCGCAATCTGCCGCCGCAGCCGCTGATCCGGAGAAGCTGGAAAACGGATGTGTCTTGAAGGTACTGAGCTTGGTCGAGGGGCCCTATGGGGGACACCACTCATTCGATTCCTTTGGGACAGTAGTCCTGATTGCTGGAGGTGTTGGTATTACCCACTGCTTGGGTTATGTCAGACATCTCTTGCACGGATATAGCGAAGGAACTGTGGCTACCCAGCGGGTCAAATTGGTCTGGGTCATTCGAAAAAGTGAACATATCAACTGGGTCTCGGATTGGCTTGAAGAGATTCTGCGGATGCCACTTTGCTGCCAAGTACTCGAGATTGACATTTATACCACCCGATGTAGCGCCACAGCCAGCGGGAGTGGATGGGCTGGTCGCAGTGGCCTTGTTAAAGTTCACGTCGGAAGGCCAGAGTTCGAAACTGTTCTCGAAGAGGTTGTGAGGCGCAGGGTTGGCGCTATGGCAGTAACTGTCTGTGGCAGTGGCGCCGTGAGTGACTCGGTCAGGGCTGCCACACTCAAGTTCGTAGATCGGGCTACTATCGACTTCTCCGAAGAGAGTTTCACCTGGTAAAGTAAGTCGCGATCCTTAGTCTTCCCCCAACTTAGCCAGATGTTAATGTTCTATCCAGAATCTTACTTTTCACCGAGAAAAAATATATATATTATTTTCCCGGATCTTTTGGCGATACCCTCGAGAAAAATTAACGGTCTCTCAGCTCTGTTTTTTTTTTTATTGGAGTTTCCCATCTATCTCGGCATACATCGGCATTTTAGGCGTTCGCTTTGGATTTCCTTCCTTTCTTTACTTTGTCCGTGAGTGCGAATGGGGAAATTAGCAGACTGTTCAGTCCTTCTTCTTCCCCCTTTCCCCTTCATCCCCCCGCTTTGACCAACTCCCGCCCCCTCAATACCCATTGTGGTAGTTGTAAATACTTCCGAGCCTCAATAATACACCTAGATACTGTTAATCACAAGCTTGTAAAATTGTGTCTTGTATGAATGTTACCTGGTATATGCCAGCATCTCTGAAAGCAAATGTGATTTGGATAGAGTTGCTATGCATGTGTGCGACTGCCTCGGGATGAAAATAAGGGAGTATTTTCCATAGGGAGGGCGATATACCGGGGTGGGGGTGTTGAGTCCTCCTCGCGGCATTGGTGAAGTTAAATTTGGTCACTTTGGTCACTGATTGGACCGGGAGATATGGGAACTCCCCCTACCCCACCCGGCACCTCCGTTACTGCGCATCGGCATGGAGGGCAAGGGGGCCGCTGAACCACATCCCACCAAGAAATGGGAAAAGGAATGTGATATGAGGTTGCTAACTTTATACCAAAATTGAAGAGACTGGGTAGTACCCGAATGCGAATACAGACATCCATAAATAGTGGTCTATAGATTGCAGCAGCAAGTATATAGCCATTGCGGGGGAACGTGAGAGAGGGGGTGAAGAGAGGGGGAGGACAGCTAGATGGCGCGTGCGGGAGAGACAAACGAACCGGACAAGGGAGGGAGGGAGGGAGGGAGGGAGAGAATTAGTTTAGAAACGAAGGATGGGTATGATGATTATATTATTCCCCGGAAAGGACTGTGTGGTCTCGACCCCTGTGATGAGAAAGCAGACCGGGAATTGCGTCCTCTGGCTGGCTTGCGGTATAGGCTAAATACGGGGGCTGCCGCCTTGTGGAGCCGCACAGGAGAATATTGGGCACGATATTATGATACCAGTGCGTCTAGAAGGCTTGCTCTAGGCAAGGGTTATTGCCGGGGGGGGGGGGATTGGTGAGTTCGCCGTTCTGGTAGCGGTATGATATGATAAATAGTCCCCAGGTCCATCGCCTAGGGAGTAATTTTCTATAGGTGTGATTTCAGTGGGCGAAAACCGCAGCTGACAACTCCTTCGTGGGATCTCCACGAGACCAAAAAAAAAAGCATTAGTTGCATGTGCGGCACTTAGATGATGTCTCCTCTATGTATTATACCACATAATACTATCGTAGTACAAGCATGTGAATGGGACATATATATCTACGGATGGACGGTTATGACATCATGCGGCCGCAGGTTATTATAGGTTACCCGGTACTTGTACAAGTATCATATTTGTCCCCGGAAGCATCACGGATCATCACTCACTAGTTGTATGAATCCCAGGACCCGGTTTGAATTTCCGAAAAGGACTATCAGGACGGTGGATGGGAAGGGGGGGGGGGGGGCATATGGGTTATGAAAAGTGGGTGAGAACCGTCGTCTTCTCATGATTTTTTTTTTGTCCAGATATTCGGCCAAGGTTGAGGTTTGGCTCCGAATGGTATCGTATTTTGGTAAATTTAGCTATGATATTACTAACTTAAATAAATCTGTTCTCCAGTTTTCAGCCTGGGCTTATGCCGCTTTTGGCTTTTTGGTGTTTTTTTTTATTCTTTTCGTGAAAGCCTTCGTGAGACGAATGGTGAGTAGGTGTATTGGCCCCGTCACTCAGCTGACTGATTGCATTTGTCTGAGGAAAAAAGAGCTCAGAAACCAGTTTTGAGGAGGCGATGTTTGAATGTGGGTGGAGGTAGGTTGTGATAGCGTTCGGCTCTACAATGGCCCTTAGCAGCTAGGTATCCAGTAGTCTATGCCATTCCAGGCTATAGGATTGCCGGGACCCTGTATCTAGCGTACCGAATGGAACATCGTGATTAGAAACCCCCCTCTCGAATTTTTATTTCTCGGACCCTCGTTTTCTAGAAGGATCGCCTAGGTTGCACGCCAGCGATACCTGCAATCTCCCCATCTGCACAGCTCCCTATCAGGCCGCACGACAAAGAATAAGTGCACAAAACGCTTCTTCCTATTTTCAAGATACAGAGAATCTCTCACTGAAGACGTCTGGGAAAGCATAAAAGCTTCTCTGGAAACCTACCCACAATTTGGGAAGAGATGCACCCCTACTCTTATTGAAATCCTGAAAAATTTGCTTCCAATGGGATAAGTATGATACTTGTTCCCAGATGGATGTTTCACGAAATACCTAGCTAGCGCAGTGGTAAAGATGTGAAAAAACTAATTAACTCCTGTCTCAATTGGCTGGAGCCCAGGAGTTTTAATTCACGCTTGCGTCGAGTTATTATTGGACTATCCGTCATGTAGGTGCAGGAGGAGAGTTCAAACTCCTGGCCCATGATACGAGAACTGGGGGATTGGGAAGCCACGCTTTTATCGATAGGGCTGTAGGGCTCTCAATTGCCGCTGTGGCGTGGCAGGATTCGACTCTAGACCTATCATACTTACGCCCAAGTGCCCTGGCGAGGCTGGCGATCGGCGGGGCAGCAGAAATAAACAAACATAAAAACCCGATAGGATTCCAAGAATTTAGTGTTAATGTTCGAGCACAATCTCCCCACCGCCCGCAATGAGTATGATACCAAATCGAGTCCTTTCCTTTTTCGAAAGCGCTATTGTAGGCCTGAGAAGATCGGGTAGGGGTTAACTTTATCGGACCATCATATGATACTTTGGAGGAAGAAAAAAGAAAAAAAAAGTCGCATAATTGCTGGCGAGTGATATATCATGAGGTCACGAGCCTGGTGATCTTGATCGGGGTGAAATTCTGAATCGATTCTGCGCTGTGGCAAAGAAGCGTTACGTCGGCTTTTTGGTGTTGGAGTGTGAGGATCCTTCTTTTCTTCTCTTTCTCTCTCTCCCGTCCTCGTCTACCGGGTTGGGATACTGTATACATAGCTACATACTCACCCCTAGGGGCTATATAAAACCGGAGGAGGATTGCCAAATTTGGGCTTCTGACATCACGTGGACAAAAGTGAAGTCATTCTATGAGAGTTAGTATGTACGATATGATACACTATGTTTCCAGGGCTAAGCTATTGGTGCTCCTGAGCCCCCTAAGACTATTACAGGAAGATAATCGCATAATCAACACACTCGATACCGCTCAGCGGCGTGCTTGTACCAAGTTTTCCAAATCAAGCAACCGGTTCAACAGATGCCCGTACGGAAGAAAATCTGCCCTCCCGCTCTCTACCCAAATGTGCGGAGGGTTCTTGCTATCATCACCAAGGAGAGATGGAAACACCGTTTTGACTGCAATCCTCGACAAAGAGACCACCATAGATCAGTCCCTCTTTGATACCCGATGGCTGATATCCCTCGTGGGAAAGGTCAGTGGCCGGTGGGGTGGGCAATTTCAAGACTCCGATGTGCGCTGCAATCGTTAGCCCTGCTATCCAACCGGTGAACAAGCTGGGGTAGGGTCTCACCTTGGCCCTTGCCAGTAGCATTATTCGCCCTGGTCTTCACAACCTCTTTCAGAAGGCCATAACCGCTAGAGTACCACGCCGAGATAGTGCTGATTGAGCGTTAGCTTGCCCACTCGCCGAATCCACATCACGTGTATACCCACTTATCAACCCAATTCGTTTGAATGGCAAAGTTATGCCAGCACCCGCCGTCGAATGGCACAGAGAAGAGCACTTCCTCGGCTTTCCCGCCGGCGGTGGAACCCCCGAGTCGGAGTGTCTTCGCGTCTTTGGCTGGGACCTCAGAGGAATTGAAGGACGTTCCGGTCTTCAAAGTCCAGACGTGACTGCTAAAGTCGTTGGTTTCGATAAATGCTATCTACGGGGTGGCTCAGTGATTGGACTTGGAATCGGAGGTGGATGGATAATGGGGAGGGGGGGGGAAGTTACCTCGTATTGGTGGGAGTAGTTCAATGGGCGGTGGACGTCTTCTCTTACGGAGAAGTGGAATGTCGTGACACCCTGGACCGTAGCGTCCGTGCCGTTGTTGGTGTTGGGTAGGAGTTCCGAGCGACGGAAGCCCTTTTGCGCATTGCCACCTGGCGCGAAGATTGATTTATCACTAATAAAAATCATAAGTCTTCTACTCATGCAATAGCTCAATTGGCGGGGGAAAAAAAAATACTTTATCGTAACCTCAACCGGCTTCCTACAACCCGAAGGCACCAAATCGAACTACCCAGCCATCAGTCACCAACACCACCATGGCCAATTGACAGAAGAGTAATGTAATACCAAAGAGGGCCCCGAAACACTCATGTTCGGGAAAAGCAGCTGTTCAGACCACTTCTGTCCAGCACCGAGAACAAACTCGGCATTATACGGACTAGTAGCGGACTTATCCAGATCTGCAGCTGGAAAATCCAACTTCAACCTGCCATCCCAAATAACTTTCGGTGCCGCGAGCGCTGCCGTGGCGAAACTGGCTAAGAAGAGGATTGCCTGAACCATCTCTTTCGATTATTATTACTATCTTGCCAAAGGAAGGTGGAACGAATAGAACTGGGGAAAAGAATGGCTCAAGGTCGGCTAGGAAAGGAGAGGGATAGGTGCGGAAATCCACATGGAAATCTTAGCATTCTTATATATTTCGACCACGAGCGAGGTCCGAGTAGGTTCCCCAAACTGCTGTTCGGGTTGAACCCCGTAACTTCGCTAACAGCCTATCTTTTTTGAGGTGCCCCCCAGCGGCTGTACTGTACTGTAATTTTGGGAGTGTGCAGCGGGGGAGTTGGCAGCCGCTGGAGGTGTCGGGCTGGGATGTTTCTAGCCTAGACTGAGAAAATAGTTTATCCGGCTGTTCGGGAAGCCAATGCAGGTACAGTACTAGTACAGTACGGTACTAAGCGTGTGTCCGATTGCGTTAGATAAAGGTGAATAATATGAACGAGCGAGGCGCCGTAAAATTGATAGGTGGGGAAAGCAGATCCCTAGCCCCGGTACTAGAGTACGAGCCCCTCCAATATTAGCTGTAGCGGTGCCACCCCGGATTAATGTAGAATATAGATATTGGAATTCCCCTGCGGCCGCGCGGGGTGCGACTTCATTTAAACTTCCCGCTTGTACTGTACTCGTACTGTACTCGCATACGTACAGAAAGCCCAGGGCGCGCACTACCACAGTCCCGGAATTCCGGATCGAGGGCGAGTGTAGCGCAATTGAGGCACTCACCCCGGGGCTTGAAAAACGCCCACACAAGTTCTGTCGAGTTGAAGACTTTTTGCGCGCGCAACTCCTCTTCCGGACACAAAATCCGGCGGACCGACTGGAAACTTGGCGCCCAAAAAAAAGGCTTCTTTGACAGGGCTGAATACCTCTAACGTGCAGGTGAGGTTACAGCACTCGTGCAATACCGTAAATCCCGCCAGATCTCGTTGGGAAGCGCCGTGCTTCAACCCTGTACCACCTGCTGTCAGCGCACAACTATATCTATCCTTACAGCTTGGCACGCACCGCATCCCCGGGCGACTGTGGAAAACTACCGTAGTACTCAGTGGTTTCCGTGCAACTCTCCGAGAATGGCCGGAAAAATCACCGCAGGGAGATGAGATTGTTGTCTCAGCACCCTGCTGCCATACAGTAGCAGGTACTGTGGTATCGGTAATTCTGCCGGACTTGGTGGCCCTAGCGCCCTGGCACTCACTGGCCACCACAATACGGTAGGGAGCACGCCATGAGATAAAGGTGGGCCGTGATCCATTTCGGTACCCAGATGAGTGTAGAGGCAAAGTGCCGCGGTTACCAGTGCTCGAGTCGAGATGTTGCAGTATTCGAGCACTCCGACCGCAGAGCCAGGGCCTTGGGGCGAGGATCCGGTATCCACGGTTCGGAAAACAAGTGAAGGAATTATAGTATCGTACTGGTACTGTAGTCATTAAACTAATCCATGGACTGTACACTGTTTGCCAAGGGGATTTAATCAAGAGAAGATTTGTACTACCTTGGGACATGGAAGAGCAGGAGCATCCGGCTCGTTTTCGATAAACAGCTACCGTACTCGAGTATACGATGGATATTTCTCTCCAACTTGTCCACTCTGAGCATTCCGAAACATCTAAAGGGGGGAAAACAATAGGGTGGCTGAGGGAGATCCCAGGACAAGCACAAACTACCGGTAGTCTACAGTATGATACCACAAATAAATTTACACTCCCCTCCCCATGTGATAAGCGCCACTCCCCCCACCCATGGCACTCCCACTCGCACCCCAGATGGCACGCCACACTTGGGCACGTTTAACAAACCTTATTTCCACTGCAGAGCTCGAAACGCCAGCTGCGATCTCGAACACCAGCCTCACGAGTCAACAACACAACCAATGACGCACATCCAGATGTCCATCTTCAACAGTCAAGCCACCCCATCCTAGAACACATACCGCCCCCTCCACTTTTGAATGTCCATCTCCAAATCACTAGACATCACGGGAACACACATCGACACCCTTCACCAGCCAATCCATCAATCCAGCACTTGCGACACCCAATCACACCGCTCGCTTCTCTAGCCCACACACTCCAGCAGCCCCATGCATCACAACGTAGCACCTCACTTCTCCTACCGAACTCCATTATCGCATCACATAAATCGAAAGCAGCAGCACACACAAAAAGCGTCTCCCTTCTCCCTCCCCCCCGTCGTCCATAAGTTAACCACCCCACCACCACCTCCACCTCCACCTCCGCCGTTAACCAACGAGGGAACCAATAACCATACCCCCTCACTCCTCACGACGACGATATTCCCAGCGATGCGCAGCGAGTCCTTATATATAAAAAAGAACAGGGAAAAAACCGTCCCAACCCAGCCCAACCGTAGCGATAGCCGCATCCGCAACACGGCACCTCAGTACCCCATGCCGCTGTCGCCACCACCGCCCCAGGGCCTATCACCACTGCCCATCGCCAAAATGAAGCGACCAACCAGGATCAAGCCCCTCTCCCCCTCTCCCCCCTCCCCCACCTCCCTCCAGGCGAACGCCAAAAAGAAAAACTCCAAGATGCACGGGTTAAAGTACACACTACGAAAGCTAAAGGTCCTCCTGCACCTGCGCCACGGGAAGAAGATGCAAGTTCCGAGAATCGTGCTGACGCCGCCGAGCGAGAGTGAGAGCGATGTGGAGGAGGATGATAGTAGCTCCGCCTCGTTGCGGAGGTATGTGGTTCTCGATGAGAGGATGGTTAGCTGTCTGGATCTGAGGCTTGGTCGGGGCAGTGGTGGTGGTTGAACGGTGTGGGGGAAGGGGAGAGCGATCTCTCGTATTCGCAGGATCGCAGGAAGGATTTGGGGGGAGTTCTGACTTTTGGCGTTTTGTTTCGTTTCATCCCGTTTCATTCCGTGTCGGTCGGTCGGTCGGCGTTCGGTGTCCGGGGCGTCGGTTGTATGTTCATTCATTTAATCCAGGGCACCTCGAGGCCCACTATAATACCATACCACATCTATCATACTCCTCCATCTCTCGGACGCTAGTACCCCCATCAGCGAGAGGGAAGACAAAGCTACTCGGGGGGGTAGTGATTGGGGATCTACAAACAAGAAACCAAAGAAACACAGCACAAGGACCAATAGAAACCCCCAGCGAGCAGATAATCCCCATCTCGTACCACACCCACGAAAATATCTCCGGGGTACAGTACAGTACAGTACAACACTCCGCAGTGTCATAACGCTTGCGAACACGACCGCTATTGCATACCGTATGTACGATACTCGTACGCCAAAATCTCGAGGGCTCCAACCGACCTTTTGCGCACAAGCAATAAGCAGTCGGGTTCGTGTCCATACCGTAAAAGCTCAAATATCATAGTAGATGGATAGATGCGTGAGGACATTTGGAATTTCCCTTCTTGGCTAGGAGAGAGAGAGGAAAACACCGCAAACTCAAAGGGATATACGGCAACGGTACAAGCACTGTACTGTAACAGTGCACAGCGCCTCTACTTACAGCAGGAGAAGATCAACTACAACGTCCTATGATGGCACATTTATCCATCCATCTTCTATTTTGGTTCCCATGGTATGGGGTGGATGTATGATGACTCGTACCAGTATTGTACTATCTATTGTACCAGTACAGTACAGTTACGATACAGTAGAGCACAGCACCACACGGCGACCGAGGGTACTGTACTTTCATACCGGCAACACACAACACCCACAACAACCAAAGTAAATTTGCAACAAGTTAGCGACGGCAGCCTACTATTATACCTTCAAAACACGGCACAGTACCCGTACAGTACCCCTTCCCTTCCCTTCCCTTCCCTTCCCCTCCAACGCCGCCGCCATCCATAGTACGATACGATACGAACAAAACACACTTACCCACCCATCATACCCCCTCATTACACATCAATTGATCGTACAACCAGTAACTTGACCCCGACCCACCCACCCGAGTGATCCCGCATGATACGTTCCCGCCTCTCGCGCAATACTCGTACTTGGGACAGCCCGCGCCGACAATGTGCATAATGTGATACCACTGTATCCAGTAAACTCGCAGGGGCCCCCCCCATTCGCCACGCCTGGTCCGCGCCAAAGAAGGTGTGGTTGGAATCGCACTTGTGTTGTTGATGATGATGATGATATTATGATATTCGCTCTATCCGGGGGGCGGGATTGGGAAATGAATGGGATGGGGCGAGTGATGCTGAGTATGATACGGTACATCATTTTTCTTATTTTGTGGGAGGAGAGAGGTTGCTCGTTGCGGTGGCCATTCATCTGCCAGGCCGGATATGCGCGCAGATGCGGTGGTTTGTAGGGTGCCTTGCCTTGGTTGAGTGCGCCTCTCTCTCTCTCCACCCTCCACTTCCTACTCCGTTCCCATCGGGATAGTTTACGGTGCTTGCTCATAGACCTCACCAGTATCCTCGATCCCATCGGCCATTATCAATCTGGCGTCCATCATACGACGATTCCACTGCACAGCGGTCGACTTGTGATGCCTAAGAAAAAAAGGAGGAAAAAAAATGATCCGTATACTTTTGTCATTATCGCTCTAGTAATAATGGTAATGACACAGAGAAGGTAAAAAAAAAAAAAAAAAAAAAAGAAGGAAAAGACGTGAAGATGTCGTCGCGTGAGGCGTTTACCATCCAGCCAGTGAGTAGCAAGCGAACAAACAAGCCGTACCATACCAGAAGAGAAAGGAAATGTATGATAAAACAAAAACAAAAAGCAGAAAACTCCGATCCCAAGTGAAACAAAAAAAAAAAGGACGAAAAAGAAATGATGACACCGATAACCCGAATTTCCGATAATAAACAATGATTACTTATGGCGATGATGGGGTATTTTTTTTAATAAAGACAAACCAAAGAAAAATTGAACGCCATTCCCCGATGATGATGATGATGATGATGATGATGATGATTTACGCGGAAAACCCTTTCTCAGACCTTGACTTTAACTCTATGCACAGAGTGTAACGGTCGTCTGGTATCGTTAGGAAGACTTCAGAGGCAGCAGAGGAGAAGGAGGATTAGACTTTCGGGATACTAACGGGGCATTTCGGTATCGGTGCTGCGGGGACGGCAAAGGTGGAGATAGGGGACCCCGTTCGGTGTTTCTGCTAATCTTGTCGATCTCGACCTTCATTTCCACCATCCGGCCTCGCATACGTTCCCGGAGCTCGCTGATGCGCTTGCAGCCTTCCCGCAGCGCCTGCATTTCCTCCTGCGTGGGCCCAGTGACCACCGGCTCTGGGGGTGGTGTCGGGGGGCAGATTCTCCGGAAGGAGTGTTGCTGTTGCCGCTGCTTGAAAGGCGGGGATGGAGGCGGGGCTGGGGCGGCAATGGGAGCTGGGGCGATGGGTTCCTGAGAGCAGACAACCATTACCCCGCTGAAGGAGAGGGGCTTCTTCGGTTGCTCCTCCGAGATCCTGATCCCCGAGAGCAGTCCCCTGGACCGGCCTTCCCATCCCCGTTCCAACTCGTCCACGTTCCTCAACTCGATCCATTCATGAACCCGTCTAATGGGGTTCAACCTCGCAAGCCACCTCCCGACCAACAACCCCCAAGCGCCGATTCCGAAAGCAAGAAAGCCACCCATGATCATAAGCCCCCACAATGGCAGCATAAACAGGGAGCAGAGAACCCTAAGAGTGATCGACTCTCCCGGCTTGTAGGCGGGGAGGTTCTGGTATCCAATGTAGTAGATGAAGAACACAAACGCGTGGGCTGGGCCGAGGATGTGGGTAGTTATAGAGACGAAGGGGATGAACAGGTATCTGTGGATTTGTCCGATGATTGCCTCACGGCGGATGTGTGGGAGGTGCGGGAGGGATATAGAGAGGGAGAGGACGAGGAGGGTGTTTAGTAGAAACAGCTGGAGGACGAAGGAGGCGACGGTTAAGAGGGCGTTGCAAAAATAGCTCAATGGGTGATGGTTGGGATCGATCTCGTTGGTCGATATCAGGGCTCGATGGGGCAATGATTCGTCGGATGGTGAAAAGTCGCTTTGATACCAACCCTGTGAGCCCCGTCCGTCCGTCAGTCGGAAAGATCCCAGTGCTAGTACTGAGTGCCGCACGTACCCGGGCTGAGTGATACGAGGGGGTGAGGCCCATTCAGAATGGGGGCGCGGAAAATAGGAATGTGTGTGAAGGGTAAGTGTGGGTTGATACCCGAGTACAGTACACATGTACGTCCTCGACAGGCTGGAATTTAAAAGTTGACAACAACCGCAGACGGGGCCAGCAATGATAGGACAAGCCCCATCCGAGGCTTGTCCGTCGCGCATGTCCCATACAGAATTTCCCTAGGAAATGCGAAAAATAGAAAAAAAAATAGAAAAAAAAAATAGAAAAAAAAAAAAGGTACATACATTTCCCGCTGCGCTCGTAGCGCCGGCGTAATAGTCAGTCAACATTGTCGACATTGTTTCCTAGACGTTTCCTGTTCGCAAGACTTGCGCTCCGTTTTCGATAGCTCTGACGTCTATTTTGACGTCCCCAGTACTTGTACGCTGGCGTCGAATCGAAATACTAAATCGCACAAAGAGACCAGCATGAGCGCCACTCCCAATACGAAAAGAGAGTACGGTAGGAGCAAGGAAGGAGGGGGGGTGAAGGTGAGGACAAGATAAATCTGAGCGGAAAAGAAAAAAAGAAAATCCCTCCAACTTTTGGGAAAGAGCGCCGTAACCCGCATTCATAAAGCAGAGGTAAAGTACAAAATTTAATACAAGGCGTTGGCTTACACAATCTTTTTGCTCTCTGTCCAACCTATTCTGCTCACACAGCGCGAGTACCGGTACTCTGCAGTACACGATGACCGCGTTGAAACCAAAGGTTTCGTTCGCTGGTCCCCCTGTTCAACCACGACAAGCCGGACACGTGGCTGGTGGTTGGTTAGTTGGTCCGAAACCGCAGGAAATGTATGGCTGGCAGGACAGCTGGGCGCCGGCAATCGAGAAAGTTATTGGGTCCGGGCGGTTGGGCGACAATCGAAGAGTTGTTTTGGTATCGACCGGGCAACTTGACTATGCGGGTAAAGAGTGTGTTGCCTTTCGTCGACCGAGAGGGAAGAGGAGGAAAGGAAGGAAGAGGAAAAGGGGCCCGGCATCATAGCTATGATGACGGAATACACACACATATGATACATAGTCTTTTGGTGAGGGCTCTTGTTTATAGGGGAGGCTCTCTGTTTCGGGGTTGGTTGCTCTGGGTGATTGATCAGGTTCTTGTGGAACTCCAGATTGGGCTTTCTAATTAGCCTTGAGGGTGAAATTGACCCTACCTGAGTTGGGGGCCGACCCAGGGCATTCACCACACGAGCGCAGGGCCAAGTTGACTGCGGCTCCCAAAAGGATCAATACTGGGACACTTGATGGTACCAAATGGTGATCGCCCTGACTGAATTCAACTCGTCCTCCACTCTCGACATCAGGCAGCGAACCCTAACCCTGTAATTATCCCGCTCACGATAACATGGTGGCTCCTTGCTCCCGCGCCCAAGCAAGATGCAATGCGCAGTCATCAAGTTACTCCAGAATTCTCCAAACAGCGTAGATCATACCCCGTCTGCTCCAAGCGAGTTTAGCACATTTCCACCATAAGGACCACCAACCCCACATCGGGCTGGGGTGTGTGGCACGCGGGGGACGGCATGTGCCAGGGGCAGCCTCAATGTAAAATCCTATCCCCAAGTTCCCCCGAGGCCGTCCAAGGGTGGGAAGAGCAGTGTTGGTGCAAGCGCTCGAACAAAGGTATTCCGTGGCATTGTGCTGAGTTGGCTGCTTGCAACCGGCCGCCAAGGGGAAGAAGGGGGTAACAACCAATCGTGTGGAGCCACTCGAGGCAGATGCGGATTGGGGCAGCAGGGGGTGGGCATCACGTCTGGGTGCTCTGGAGGAATGAGGGTGTAGGGCTGCGATGCTGAAGATGTGTCGTGGGCGCGTGGAAAGAAGCAAAGGGGAGGTCAGGATGTGAGTATGGCCAGTGGTGGTCGTGGAAAGGGCGAGTGAGTAAGGCTAGGTGGATTAGCGCGATTGTTAGGAGCAGATGAGCTACCTAACGAGAATACTGTACCGGTATCATACCTGTTGGAAACCGCACGTCTGGATACGCTATTCCTCGCGAGGCGAACACACTTCGGCGTCCGCGCAGCGTTGAAGGCAGTATCCAACCTCATGACCTTCTCAAAGGCAAACGCGCGGGAACTCGGGTCGGGTAAACACGATGGCTGAGGTGCTAACCGGTCGTTAAACGTTCCACAACCCAATTACCAGGCGCCTTGAGGACGCTATCCACGGTAGTATTGCCTTTGATAGGCCAATGAACTTTCCATCGGAATGCATGATAATCCCATCAGCCCAGGGTTGGGTCCAGAAGCCTTAAGCGAGCCAGGGATACCAGTGACCCGAGAATGACTACCAAAGCTTGGTTCTATACCCGCACAGGTATTGCTTATGGAAACATGAATACTTTCCTCTCTCCGATTCCCGCACAAGAGAATATCATGCCACCGGGGGAGAAGAAAGAAAACTAGCGGAATGGCCAAACGAAGTGAACAATGTCGAGAAGCCTGCATAGACGGGCTAGCGCGTGATTTCCGTTGGTTCCTGCAGAAGCACGTTGATCAATGTTAATCACCGTACTCGTACATTGCCGGATTAGGGCTCTCCGTGCATACCAGTATGATAGCCTGTACAAGCAGTGCGCTTTTGGGCCACAGCACCGGACTCTGCCACCCGGTCCTTGGACCAACGAGCATCACCTTGAGGGGGGGGGTGGGTAGCATGCCCAGCTCGGTCGAGCGTGCGCTCTCCAAAAGATGGGTCTACGAAAGAACGGATGGATCGAATGAATTAGCCACGAGAGAAAAAAAACACACCCATCATATGATAAATGTCGCTCTTGGAATGGCAATGGTTCCCCGGAGTGCTGCGGAGCCGCCGGCTACGGGTGATCGGCCCCGGGGCAGGACTCGGTGGCATTCCCGAACAGGAGATGTGGTCGGGTCCAGGTGATCTACCAGGGCAGCGACACTCGGGTAAGGGAGCAAACATGGTGGTTAATGAGCGTGCGCCAGCTGTTCTCCATGGGTGCCGGTAGTGGTACTTGTAAGGTGATTGGGGGAAAAGGGGAAAAATACAGCTATATCACGCCGATAATAGTTTGCGATGCCATCACAAGTGAGCGGCGGAACACGGCCCGCCCCGAGCCCTTACGAGTAACACCGGACATCTCCGCATGGAGCCTAATTTCGTTGTGTCATGGTGGAGGGATTTGGACTACGGTAGGCGAGCTGCTTACCAGAGTCTTGGTATAGCGAACTATGAGGTCATCGCCTTCATCCGCAAACGGGGGTCACAAGCTCCACGTAATTCTATTTAGCGATGGAAGACTCGTACTCTACAGTGGTCTACCGTATGCCATCTGTCCGCCGGGCTCAAGGGATCTCGTCCCCCCCCCTTCGGGACTGTAGAGATTGACCGTGGGCAGACACCGGATACTAGAGCGGCAGACTGCGAGTACCGGTGCCGTACTGCAGATTCTCAGCAAATACCCGAGCACCCCCGAGGAAGCGGGGGGAAGGCTTAAGGAAGCCTTCCTCGGCTACCGTACGAGTACCGTACAGTACTCGAGTACGGTAGAGGACGAGGCACGAGGGAAAAAGAAAAAAAAAACCGGATGGGGAGGGGAAAAAAACCCTGTTCCTGGAACAATTTCATGCCGGGAAGATCTCACTCCTCAAGATCTGCCAGTCATACTCGAGTACAGTAACTGTGAAAACTCTTGGAATCCACCGTCTCTGCCAGCCCTGTAATCTCCGGATCCAGATAAAAAAAAGCTCTTGGGAGGGTTTAGCGTCCCGCCTACTGGATGCGTTGCATCTCGTTAACCGGTATTCGCAATTCTGTTAACCCGTCAAACTAGACCTATCGTGGACTGACGGGCTGACTTCCGCTTTCCGCTGATAGGTAAATTTAATATTATGATAGTGGATTTCAACAGTTTTCGCGGCCTTCTCTCTCTCCCAAACCCATAAACCTCACTCCCATCCTTCCCCTCCCTCCCCTATCCATCACTGACAATTGTCCCCTCCTCGTCATGGCTTTCACAGCCTCCGTCGTCGAATTGCACCCCCTCCCTTCCGTAGCTCCCGACCCGCCTACCGACCCCGAGAACCTGCCCACTGTTTCCGACCCGTTCAGTCTATCTTCCGGCCTCAAGACTTCCGAGGAAATCCACAACCTGACCGCTAGACATCGCAACCCACGCTGGAAGTACTCCCGTGCTGAGCAGACTCTTGGCCAATCGAGCACCGCCGGTGCCGGTAATGGTGGAGCTGCTGATGACGATAAGAGGAAGCGGAAGGTTGATGTTAAGGGGATTCACGAGTTCTACCGGAGCCAGAACCAGTCGATTCAGCAATTGCTGAAGCCTGTCGAGGAGCACAGGCGTGAGGCAAAGGATGAGAAGGGTGATACACGCATCCGCTATCTGATTGCCGTCCATGGAAGTTTTTTCGCCAACATCGTCCTAGCCGTCCTGCAACTTTATGGTGCCCTGTCTTCCGGGTCCCTCTCACTTTTCGCGAGTCGGTATCCCCTTGGAAACACTCCGGATCATGGTATACTGGTATGCTAACTGTTATTTGTTAGCGATGGCCGATTCCATCTTCGACCCATGCTCCAACCTTCTATTGATTCTCTCTCACCGTGCTGTTAACAAGGTGGACCCTAACAGATTCCCCTCCGGAAAGGCACGTCTTGAGAATGCGGGCAATATTGTCTTTTGTTTCCTCATGTGCGCGGTCTCGTTAATCCTGATTGTGGTGTCGACCCAAGAACTTGTAACGCACAAGGCGGGGGATGAGCTTAACAAATTCCATCTACCGTCCATCATTGCTGTTGCCGTCGCCTTCGCCACAAAGCTGGCGCTATTCCTGTATTGCTGGAGCCTCAGAAACATTTATTCCCAGGTCAGGATTCTCTGGGAGGATCACCGCAACGACCTGCTCATAAACGGGTTTGGTATCCTCACTTCAGTGGGAGGATCGAAATTGAAGTGGTGGTTGGATCCGGCTGGTGCCATCATCCTCAGCTTACTAATTCTGGGATTGTGGTCCCGCGCCGCTTATCGTATGGCGCCCATCGGCTTACCCCCGATATCCCTCGAACCAAACAAAAACTAACCCGTGACACTACCAGGCGAGTTCTTGTTGTTGGTTGGCGTGACCGCTGAGCAGTCCGTTCTCCGGCTCATCACTTACATCTCCATGACCCATTCTCCGCTCATTACCCAGATTGATACTGTCCGGGCATACCACAGCGGGCCGAGAATCATTGTCGAAGTGGATGTCGTAATGCCCGCCACTACCGCTCTCCAGGTCACGCACGACATCGCGGAGGAGCTCCAAGTCAAGCTAGAGAGCTTGCCGGACGTTGAGAGGGCATATGTCCACGTCGACTACGAGACCAGTCACAAGCCGGTATGTCCATCCCCACCTCCACCCTTCTCCCCGGAGACGGTGTTAATGTTGGGCCCGCTAGGAACACTTCTTGAAGAAGGAATTGTAGGTTGGGGGAGGGGGTTGTTCGGTTGCTTCTGAGTCGTGGGTTGTTTGCAAATATTTGCTGGTTCCTGGACGCAATTTTTGTGGCTATAGTGTGCTGTCGCTGCACTTGTGGTGCAAATTTTCCTCTTTTTTTTTCTTTTTTTTTCTCCTCCATTCCATCTCGTTTCAATAACTTCTGACGATTGCTTTTGCGATACCTCTGTTCTTCTCTACCAGGATGAGCTCAACGTAGCCCTGAAATGAAGGGGAGCGCGAGTGAGCACAGCACCAGTATCAGTATTGGTGCTTGGCCCCTAGTCGCTCACAGCCCGCAAGATGCGAGAGCCGAATATGCCCCCCACCCACTCATTGTATATAGATAAACCCTTTAACACAGTTAAAGGGAGCAATTTCCGAGATACACACTCGTGCCCTGAGCGGGGCGGAAAGGGTTCTCAATACCCACAATTCTCATGAGAGTAACCCATACCTGTAGGGGATGCTTGAACAAAGAAAGGGTATATTATACGATGGCCACTCGGGTACGGTACGATACGATGCTTCTCAAGGTCAGGGATCCGAGAAATTCGAACCGGGGCGGATAAACCAATTACCGGTACTTTGGCGCTCACTCCCCCGCACTTTGGAGCAACCCATACGGCCGACACCGGCAGATGGAAGCCCGGGATTCCAACCGGGCAGCGGAGATCATTCATACATAGTATACCAAATTTTTTTTGGAGGTGGGAGAAACGATATGCGAGTGAGATTATATGATTTCCCGGAGGTCTACCCCCCGAACAGGCCAAAGCAGGGCAAGATTTGAAAATTTCGTGCGGTACCTAGCGGTTCCCTAGGAGTTGACTGCCTGCTGTGACATCCCCCATGGCTGGAAGCCGTGACCCAGTCACGATCGCGTACCGCGCGGGATTCAAGTCACGGACTGGGAAGTGGGGGAGGGGGGGTTGCCTATTAAGCTAACTTGTCCCTATATGGCCGGGCACGCGATGTGTCCTGCTGGTCTGAAACGGGTCCGGCGAAAGGATGGATAAATCGGTGGTATAGCAAGGGGGAAGAACTGCGGCACGGCTGGATCGTTGCCGCTGGCGGCGGGTTAGTGTGATAAATCATTCGAGAGCGGGTTATGCACTAGTATTTCATACTCGAACACTGTGCTGTACAGTACTAGTACTCCTACAGTAGGGTGGCGGGGGGGGGGGGGAGGGTCATTGTGTGTGACTTCAGTCACTTTGGATATTTTTGTTTCCTTCCCCCCGACTTTGATGAATAGTAGCAATCTTGGGTACAGCACTCCTTCCTCTTTCTTCTGTCTAGGAGTGCTAGCGCCGGGGATTATACATATGCCGGTATCCATGGTGCATCACGGTTGTAGTGGAACATTTTTTTTTTATCATCATTAAGCTTCGGAGGTGTTGGTTTGAGCGGCTTTGTTTTTCTTTTTTCTTCTTCTTTTCTCTTTCTCTTGGTCATATCATGAGCATAGAATTCAGCGATTGTGATGGATGCATGATACAGTGCAACTTTCTTTGTGCACGATGGTTATCCTAGTTGGGGGGTGAAAATTCCTCTCCTCTGCGACGCAGTACAGTACAGTACAGTAGTGGGAGGCCAGTGACAGAAATCACCGGTAGTGCAAGCGCACAACACTAAAATTAGTCGATTTCAAGTACCGGTATGGTGGTTGATTGTCGAATGGGATGCAAAAAATAATATATATATATATATATACCAGTATCGTACAAGCTTCATTCACAGCTACGATATGCCAACTTTTCATACACAAAAGCTTTAGGACTATGACACCAAAGACGGACCAATATTTTGGCAAACTAAGATCATAAAATTATTCAAATTGGGGGTTAGAAAAAAAAAAAAGAGCGCCAAGACCCTATTGTCACTTCTTGCCCTTTGATTTTTTTTTCTTTTTTTTTCAAACGACATCCCAAGGAGGAAGAGACAAGTTTATTTGTGACAATTTGGAAGAGGAAAAAAATTAAAAAAAAATCTAAGGAATTTCTCTTGGATGATGGTGTAAATATTTGTAGGGGTTTTAATCGATTGAATGGAGGTAGGTGGTGTAATAATGTTGCGAGCATGGCTGTTTTGCATGTAATTTAAAATGCTCTTTTCACCGAGTCATTTCAGTCCCCAGTGTCGTGTTATACTTGTATACTAATTTATGTGCCTTGGTGATCTGGTTCGTGCGGGGGGGGGTACGTGAAGACCGGAGAAATCCTACTACTTACTACTGTATGATTACCAGCATGAGATCTGCGGTGAGAGAGAGAGAGAGAGAGAGAGAGAAAGGGTCTATATCGCGATTTCAACGTCACAAGGATAAGTTAGTTGAGAGGAGAGATGAGATGGGTGAAGATGTTGCCGGGAATTCACCTGCCACCGTCCATTGCGGGTGGAAAGTGTCTTCAAGTTCTATTACATAATACCTTCGGTTTACACTACAAGTTTCCCAATGGTTTGATCCCGGAGGTGGGAGATCTCTCTGGATGGAGCTCACCAACCTATAACCGTGCTAAGGTTCCCGTCACTTCGAAAGACGCTAAGCAACCTTCGAAGAATGACGGCACTCCTACGGAGTGCCTAACAGCTCAACGAAAATAACAGCTCAACGAAAACATCCTCCAAGAATCAGGTATCGTGATCTCTATTTCTCCTCCTCCCCAACCACCAATCCAGCTATGTCTTCAAACCAATATCCAGAGATTGAAAAACGAATTCAAGATGCAATCGAAAGGCTAAATGAGGAAAATAGGCCTAATGTGGTTGCGGTCGCCCGTGAGTTTGAGGTGCCATGGCAGCGTCTTCGTGCACGATGGAAGGGCCGTCCATCTCGCCAGGAGAGGCCAGTACCGAATCGGAAATTGTCAGAGGAGCAGGAGTTAGCTCTTTGTCAGTATTTGAATCGACTGGATCAAATCGGAATCCCGCCCCGGTATCAGCATATTCGTAAATATGCTGATTCAATTCTTGCTCGATCGTCTTCGGATTCTGAGGCTTCTCCACCAATCGTGAGTGACATGTGGGCTCACCGCTTTCTCGATCGCCATGAGGAGTACCTCTTACGGAAGCAGAAAACTCTTGACGTCAAACGAAAGAGTGCACACCGTTCAGATGATTTGCGTGACTGGTTCTGTCGGTATTACGAGATTGTCGAAGGCAATGGTGTTCTCCCTAGCGATTCCTACAATGTCGACGAAACTGGGTTTCGTATAGGAATTGGTCGAGACCAATGGGTAGTTACTCGAGAAGCTACTCGTCCTATCTAGTTAGCCAGTTCGAGCAACAAAGAGTTAGTAACAGTTATTGAAACTGTTAGTGGAGATGGTGCCGTTCTTCCCCCCATGCTGATTATTCCTGGTACTTTGCACATGGAAGATTGGTACGTGCAAACAGATATTCCGGATGACTTCTTGGTGGGCGTTTCCGAGACTGGATATTCGAATGACATGCGTGCGATAGACTGGCTCAATCATTTTGAGGTTTTTTCTCGTCGACGACAGCTTGGAGCGTGGCGGCTACTTCTCTTGGACGGTCACGAGTCCCACTGCACCCGGGAGTTTATCCAATTCTGTGATGATCATAAGATTATCCTCTTCTGTTTCCCTCCACATTGTACCCATCTACTTCAGCCTTTGGATGTGGTGATATTTCAACCGTATAAACACTATCACGCGGAGGTGGTCGACGCTGCGACAAGGACGGGCTGTATGGAATTTGATAAAATTGAGTTCCTAAGCGCAATTGACTCAATCCGGTCCGCAACATTTAAGTCTTCAACGATCATTTCAGCCTTCAGGAAAACAGGACTTATCCCGTACGATCCAGAAATTGTTATTGGAAACCTTGTCGAGTACGATAATTTGGAACCTGAAGTCCCTCGAACCCCCCACCCCAATCCCGACAGCCATCCTTCAACTCCTCAAACAATTCATTCCCTCAAGCGACACGCCGATACCCTTACCAGAAAGCTAGATGATCTTTCACCAACTACGCGTCGGACACTTCAGACCTTTATAAAGGGGAGCCTGGTTCAAGCACAAACGGGTGCACAGGCTATGGAGGATCTTGAGAGGACAAAGGCAGTGGAACTCGCACGAGCAGTACAGCACAAACATAGTCGGAGGACTCTTCAAAGGGGAGGGGTATTGTATGCACATGAAGCTAGGTCTATGGTACAGCAGAAAGAGAAGGAAAGTCTAGAAAAGCAGCTCGAGAAGGCTCAGCGGTCACTTGATTGCGTGGCAAAAGCTGCAGAAAACCAAACCCGAAAGCAGTGGAAAGAAATTTCAAAGCAAATGAGAAAGGCTGTAAAGGATCGCAATAAGAAGCAAAAGCTTCAGAAGGTCTTATTGTGTGGCATTGGGCGTTCAATTCTAAATGTTGCTACTCTCATTGAATAAATTTTCGTTGAGCTGTTATTTTCGTTGAGGTGTTAGGCACTCCGTAGGAGTGCCGTCATTCTTCGAAGGTTGCTTAGCGTCTTTCGAAGTGACGGGAACCTTGGCACGGTTATATACCATTAGGAGGACCGGATTGGTCTCGAGAGGATGGCCTGGGATATTGGTATGGTACTTGTAACGACGGAGTGGGGTGGTGGTAATTCGGCCTTCTCTCGGGCTGGACGTGGACTTCGAATAATTACCTGTAATTTTGGGGTATCATGGATGTCGCTGACGGGGCGCTGAAGCTGAGTTATCATTTCCATCATATCATATGGTATGATACCTGTATGGTATGATACTAATACTGTGTAGGGTATATAACGGGTAGGTCTATTGAACCCACCGGGTTGGCCCAGCGCCCTCCAGCCAAAAAGGGTTAGCCCGGATTGGCCGAGGATGGTACGGTATTGTACGAGTACCGTAGCGCATCGTAGCCACCCCTATGGTGAAATGTGAGGAAAGAAAAATTGGAGAGATTGTTGCACACATAATGCTGTACAGTACGAGTACTGCACCCTTCTTACTTTCAACTAATGAGTGCAGGTTCGACCGACTGAACTGAACTGACCGACTTGTTTATCCGCTGGTTGATAGCCCGTGATCTCCATCCACCTCCTTACGGGTACTGGAGTACAGCACGAGTACAGTACAAGGCCAGTCTTTTTACGAGTACTTCGTCCAGTCATGATCCGGGCAAAGAATAGTCTACCGGTCAGTACTTGCACCGAACCCGCCGCGGAGATATCACCAAGTAAAAATATCCCGGAGTTTCCCTTCTTCCTTTCCCAGAAGGTGGTAGGGCAGGGGGGGGCACGGTACTCGTATATGTATCGTGAACATTTTTGATAAAAATTTAATACAAACGTGTACAGTGCTATACTACACTGAACAGGACTTGTATGAGTAACCGTGCCAAGGTTCCTGTCACTTCGAAAGACGCTAAGCAACCTTCGAAGAATCACGGCACTCCTACGGAGTGCCTAACACCTCAACGAAAATAACAGCTCAACGAAAATTTATTCAATGAGAGTAGCAACATTTAGAATTGAACGCCCAATGCCACACAATAAGACCTTCTGAAGCTTTTGCTTCTTATTGCGATCCTTTACAGCCTTTCTCATTTGCTTTGAAATTTCTTTCCACTGCTTTTGGGTTTGGTTTTCTGCAGCTTTTGCCACGCAATCAAGTGACCGCGGAGCCTTCTCGAGCTGCTTTTCTAGACTTTCCTTCTCTTTCTCCTGTACCATAGACCTAGCTTCATGTGCATACAATACCCCTCCCCTTTGAAGAGTCCTCCGACTATGTTTGTGCCGTACTGCTCGTGCGAGTTCCACTGCCTTTATCCTCTCAAGATCCTCCATAGCCTGTGCACCCGTTTGTGCTTGAACCAGGCTCCCCTTTATAAAGGTCTGAAGTGTCCGACGCGTAGTTGGTGAAAGATCATCTAGCTTTCCGGTAAGGGTATTGGCGTGTCGCTTGAGGGAACGAATTGTTTGAGGAGTTGAAGGATGGCTGTCGGGATTGGGGGGGGGGGTTCGAGGGACTTCAGGTTCCAAATTATCGTACTCGACCAGGTTTCCAATAACAATTTCTGGATCGTACGGGATAAGTCCTGTTTTCCTGAAGGCTGAAATGATCGTTGAAGACTTAAATGTTGCGGACCGGATTGAGTCAATTGCGCTTAGGAACTCAATTTTATCAAATTCCATACAGCCCGTCCTTGTCGCAGCGTCGACCGCCTCCGCGTGATAGTGTTTATACGGTTGAAATATCACCACATCCAAAGGCTGAAGTAGATGGGTACAATGTGGAGGGAAACAGAAGAGGATAATCTTATGATCATCACAGAATTGGATAAACTCCCGGGTGCAGTGGGACTCGTGACCGTCCAAGAGAAGTAGCCGCCACGCTCCAAGCTGTCGTCGACGAGAAAAAACCTCAAAGTGATTGAGCCAGTCCATCGCACGCATGTCATTCGAATATCCAGTCTCGGAAACGCCCACCAAGAAGTCATCCGGAATATCTGTTTGCACGTACCAATCTTCCATGTGCAAAGTACCAGGAATAATCAGCATGGGGGGAAGAACGGCACCATCTCCACTAACAGTTTCAATAACTGTTACTAACTCTTTGTTGCTCGAACTGGCTAACTAGATAGGACGAGTAGCTTCTCGAGTAACTACCCATTGGTCTCGACCAATTCCTATACGAAACCCAGTTTCGTCGCCATTGTAGGAATCGCTAGGGAGAACACCATTGC